AGGCCAAAACCGCCACATCTTGAATCACGCGTGGTAGAAATATTTGGAGCTCAAGCTCCTCCAGTTAGCCACGCAATGATGCAAATATTTCTCGTATCCGAGTGCTCGATGGCGGGGTTTTGACCAGCGCGGACGCAGGCCGTTGAGGGAAACGTCGGCACGCGGCCGCTCTCAGTCCACACACGAAGGGAGTGATGGTCTTCATGCTCGCCACGACGAGGCTCAGTCTCATTTTTCAGATTGGTTCGCGATAACGCGCCCCCCCCCCCCCACCTCATCCCAACATTCCTCAAAATTCAACCTTCACCTTCAGTTTCTTCAAAGCTGCCGTTGCATTCTTTGGTTTTCGTGTTCGCAGCCCAGAATGGGGGCCCCTTCTTTCAAACGTGCTTGTTTTGCCCTGCAGGTGAACAAGCAGCAGCTGCAGGCGGTCAAGGAGCGTTTCGCCGCCTTCCTCAACGGGGAAACTCAGATTGTGGCCGACGAAGCTTTCTGCAACGCCGCGAGGAGCTACTACGAGGTAGGTCGCGTTCTTCTCCCTTGTGCCCCCCCACCCTGAACTCTAATCCTACCTTGAACCCACCCCCTCCCGTCTTGTCCCCTGTGCTCTGGCGAAGAGTCTACTTCCTCTTTTCACCCTTTTTTTTCCCCAAATGTTCAGTGTCAAACAAAATAGTGTGCCGCCATCTAGTGATGGGCACTGAGATTACAGCCAAAGTTACAGAACAAAATTGAGTTGACTGTACAGATAAAAAAAAAATTCTGCCATCCCATAACCCAGGATGGATTTTTGTACAGGAATATTGCTTTCTATGGCCAATCAAACTTTTTGTTTGTTTTTTGGGTGTGGGGGGGGGTCATAATTTCCTTGTGAAAATGGACCACTTGCAGGTCATTTGTGACCACATCAAGAGTTTTTGTCGTCACCTATTTTGGTTTTGGTGTTCGTGGCCTCTTTCACGCGGTGAGCTGATGGATCGCGTCGTCAATATTTTTCTTCTCCCGGCAGTGGTTGGCATGGCGACAGCGGAGGGCGCGAGAGAGACATTGGGGGGGACCGATTCAAGCAAGTGTTTGAACTTTGTGGTCATAAGGTCACAAGCCTGAAGTCGGGCCTCTTGCAACACCAAGTGGGCGATGTTTGTTTTGTTTTTTTTTTTGTTTGTTTTTGGTTTTTTTAAACTCGACATAACTTGGAGGCGCACTTGATTCGCATGCCAATCTCAGCCTCTCGAAACCAGTTGGAATGCAGCGCGGAGTAATGGGAGCCAGAATTGATGACACGATTTGCTGAAAAGAAAAAAAAAATTTGTGCACCGACGGCCCTTTTTGAAAGGAGCGCTTTCCCGACCAAATGTGACTTAAGCCGCCCCACCAAAACTCCGTCAACCGAGTCCGCAGTGAAACATGAGCGCAGAAGCCGTCGGTGCCGGAGCGCTAATTGAGTGCGGTAACGCGGCGGGAGTCCAGCCGGCGCTTCAGGTGGTTGACATTTGCTGAGCCCAGTGGGCAGCCGCCGCTAACCGCTAACCGCCGACGCCAGCCGCTCACTCTCGCTTGCTCTCTCCAAGCTCTCAAGTTGCTCCGGCCAAGTGGCACAGATCGCCTTTCAAAGGCCAAACCAAGAGTCACTTCCGTTGCTTTTTTTTTTTTTTTCTTTTTAAACAAAACATCAGCCGTGACGTCATCGTTTCATGTTTGTACTCTGTTGGAACTTTCCGCAGTGACAGCGCAACCTGGACAAAAGTATTGGGTCACCTCCAGCATGTGGAAAATGGACACTTTGATGTTGGAATAGCTTCTGCTCTTATGAAAGATTTGCTACAACATGCATGGACAACTAGCCTGATTTGAAAAAAAAAAGAAAAAAAAATGCTAACGTGCCGTTTAAACTTTAAACTTTATAGGGCAAGTATGTCTTTTCCTGGGGGGAAACAAATACAGTAGTTGAATGGCCAAACAGAAAACTACGCGGTAAAAAACACAACTTGTATTTTTGCGGGGTGAAACGGGTTATTGTTGTCATGACGATGGCGAGGACGCCGACGACCGTCTGCTGCCAGCACATTTAAGTCGGAGCCCGCTTTTGAAATAGAAATGGCTGACGTTTATGGCAACAAGGTTAGCTCGCGCAACAAAGTAAGCCAAACAAATGTGCCGGGTTGTTTTTCCTTCTCTTCAAGTTGGAGGGGCAAATTCGAGGCACACGCGAGTCCTGGAAACTCGCGAAAATGCAGCAAAGCCAATTTTCACATAAGCGAAAGAAACTTCATATGTGGTGTTGAGTGGCCCAACTCCATTTGTTGCCTTGCATTTTATTTTATTTTTTTTTACAGTGTTAGCAGCAGAGACATCACTTGACTAAAAATGTGTGTCGTTTCCTGACATACAAATAGTGTTTTAGTGGCAAAGTAGTTTTTTTGTAGCTCAACACCACCCCCCCC